GGTTTTTATTGTTAAACTGTGTATATTTCCTTACTAACATTTATTAAAGATAAGTTCCTGCTAGTGTAATAATTTGGAAGAGTCATTACGAAGTCTTATCTAAATAATATTCTCCAAGAAGGCAAGTGTAATGTTTGGAACCCGGGCCCTGGAGTCTGGGTGTAAGAGGGCAGATTTGTTGCTTATCAGTACTTCACCTCAGGCAAGTTACTTAACATCTGTGTCCCAGATTCTTTTTCTGAGTAAATGGCAGTAAAAATGGTTTCTATTGCGTAGGGCTGTTGTCTGGTTTAAACTGGATTATATGTCAATGTGCCTTGTACAGTGCCTAGTATACAGAAAACAACAAATGAACATTTTTGTTACTATTATAGTAATCGTTTTTGTTCTGTTAAAATGGAAATAGTTTGAAGTGTAGTGCTAGGTGTTGAGGACCCTAATCAAGTGTTAAGAACAGGTCACCATCAGTGCCACCAGTAACTCCCAAATATGTGTTAAAACAGGCATATAAACCAATAAATTACAATGTATTATTGAGGTTTCTCTTACATTTTTTTAAGATCACTAATTGGATTGCTGCCTTTTTAAGGAATTCTCTATAGCCTATAAGGAAGAGTATATAGGGAAACCTCTCAGGACCTACAAATTAAAGGATTTCTAGAGTTAATGACACATAATAATTTCATTTTGCCATTAAAAGGGCATGAGAAATAGCACTGCTCTTTGATTAAAGTCAATTAAAGCTGATACCTGGTCACAATGCTTCTGCTTTTCCTTATTATCAAGGACCTAAAAGAAAATTAGAGGAAACCTAGTGTCAGTCAGAAATAAAGAACTTCAAAATTCTATAACATGTAAATTTCGCTCAAATTTTGTCTTTTTTTTTTTTTTTTTTTTTACTAATACAAAAAAATGGAAAAAGAAAGGCCAATTTATTGAATTATTAGCTATGTAAAGGATGACATCAGAATGGCATCAGCCAAACCTCTCTCAGGCAAGCGACTGGATTGGCTCCTGGTACTGATTGATAGGACGCCGTTCTCTGAACTACTCTCAATTACATACAAACCAGGAATCACTTAGTTGTCTCTTTTCCGTCATCCTCTTGACTCACTGAATGTGAGAAATAGTGAATCCAGACTTCTGGAATCCTCACAGATCCTGTGCATCATCTGAATGGACTGATCAACAAGCACATCAACAGTCTTGGTTGTACAACCCATCAGCAGTGATGTGGCAGCGGCAGCAGTAGCTGGCGGTATTGGTGGAGCATTTGAGATGCTCTAGATTACAGGGCTAGCAGGAGTGGAGGAAGGATTAGTGAACCTGAAAGGCCATGACCATTCTAGAGAAGGTTTATCTTTAGTTCTAAAAAGGATCATCGTCATTGCTATTGTGATCTGTTGGTTGTTAATAGTTTTAATCATAATGTTCTTGAGATGTAGTACTTATTTGTTCACCTATAAATACTGTTCATGACATCATTTTTGTGTGCAAGGTTCAACTGGAAAAGCTGAGGGCATGTCTCATCCCATTCTAAAAGTGCCATAGGGAATCACGTTACCTCTTACTTAGCCCTCAACCATCTGCATCTCTCTCTGGCTGAAATAAGTTTTAGTGACAGATAGGAAGGAACACAGTATCAGTGACTCACTGATGCTTTATGTCTGTCTAAGAACCTGTTTCCCAAATCACAGTAAGTAAAGTGCGTATAGTTAGTTAAGCGAGACTATGTATGCTGTGGTAATAAATAAACCAAATAGTTTAACATATGTTTAGTTCCTGCTTATACTAAATTTGCTGTAGGTCGGTAACTTTCCAGGGCAACTGTCCCCAGTGTGGTGATTCATAATTCAAGATGCTTCAGTCTCATAGTTTCACCATTTCAATGTAAGGCCTCCTCCAGGACTTGAGAGAGACAGAAGAATTGCTTAGGAGTATTTCACTGCCTCAGCCTACATGTGATACACGTCACTTCTGCTCACATTTATTTGGTCAGAAATTGTCACATGGCTTAACATAACTGCCCAGGGGCTGAGAAGGGTAGGCTCCGATATTTATCTTCTGTCTTCCTGGGTAGGAAGAAAAGAAAGAATGGATATTCTCGAGGCCATTAGTAAATACTGTGTCCCACAATATGTGAGGTAATTTTAAGTGGTGCAGAGAATAAACTTTTATAATTTTTGCTTATGTTCAACATGTGTTTGAAAAATGTAAGTAGCACGCTGTGCCTATGAGGTCATGGCTTCGTTTTATATAAATTTAAACTTTAATTGCAGACACTGTGTTCTTATGATAAAAATGGTAAAAAGTGCCACACAGATGTCTAATGTTTTAATAACACTGACCGAAAAGAACCACTCTAAAACTCAAACTTCAGTACGTAAAACTCTAGGTAAACTGGGAGTACAAGGTGGGGCATTAGAATTTGCTCTTTTAGCAATACCCTATTCAGGAGTCATGGACCACATGCTGCGAAGAATTGTTTCAGAGGCCAGCTGCTCTTCTGCTGTTAAAATTGGGGAACCAGGGACAGAACCCACCATGGGGGAGCCTGGAACTCCCGATGAGTACTCAGTTCCCCCTTTTTTTTTTTCTCACTACTGTGTGTGACACTAACCACAAAGGGTTAAGGTTTTGGACAGAAACATTTGACCTGGCAGGCAATACCTTCAGAGCTGCCATTTTCCTTCTTAGCTGGTTTTCCATGTTGTCTAAGGTTGTTCAAACTGGCAGTCTCACTCCTCTCAGATCAAATATAATAAAATCAATAGGTATTACTGCTAGTTCCAAAGCTCTTCCATTTACTGAAGCTCCCCGTTCGTTCACTGTTGGTGGTAAGTCAGTTTTGTTATTTAATTTTTTTTTCCATTTCCATATTTTCTAAGGGAGCCTAGAAATCTCTCCCAAGGAGGGTGACTTTGATGTCCTGATTTGTCTGTAATAGTCTTGGTTGTCTGTGATTATTCATAGAAGACTCTTTTACTTTTAAAAAATGTTCTGTTTGGATGATAACTTATATGGTGACCCTGCTCCTGAGAACTCTTCTTGTTTTATTTTATGATGTGAATGAGTGATTTGGTCCCAAAGACCCTTCATTCCATTGCTAGTGGCTAGAGCCACATGGGGTTAGCGGAGGCTATGGTTAGCATTTTGAATAGTCATTTTGTGGGAACATCATCTGTATGTTCTGTAGAGACTAGAGAGAAAGGTAGAAGGACATAGAAAGGAGTTAAAGGGAATAAGCAATGACATTGATGACTGAGGGATAAACCAAAGCACATTTCTGAGGAACCCAAAGGAGCTCATTATTCGGGCCCAGACTTCAACAGGTCCTAACCTTATCTGAAGGATGACATGTAAACACTGAAGGTGAATCTTGGTGTATAGCTCTATGTATGTAACTAACATTCATAACCTTTATCCCTGCATCAAGATTTCATGGTGTGAATTCTGTACCCTAATGAAATGGTTGTATCGTCTTACATTGCCTCAGCTCCTTACTAGGGTTAGGACAGGCTCTGTACAATCTTAAGTGAAATTTCAGTTGCTTGCATGAGTGTAGCCACATATTTGTAATAAAAATTATATGCATCACATTTACTTTTTCTGGAACCCTACCATTAGATAACACATATAAAAGCTGCTATTTACTTTCTAGTTCAATTCTGGATGAAAGTAAAAGAGGATTCCAAAGGTATATTATAGCACACTTAGAAAAACCTTTAGGTCTGTAGCTCATCAGACTGGCTTTTAAAATATGCAAGCGCCTACAGAGACCACCCCAGGTTAAAAGTATCTACATACTTCATGGTACTTTACTCTTAAATAATGTTTAGAGTTTGTTATCTTTTGTAGACCTTGGAAATCCAATTATTTATAATATCCAGTGACATTTACATTTTGCTAAATATACTCTGCTTGTAGTAGAACGTATTGTGCTTAGGAAAATGGGTATAGAATGCCTGGCTCTACATTTGCTTATATATGATGCAAAACACCAGGGTAAACTGTGTAATCTTTTTGTTATAAGTACATGATTTTAAAAACAATTCTCAAGAGGTATCCTTAATCATTACCATGTAAAATGCAGAATGAGAAAAAGTTAGAGTTGAAATCGTTTGTTGACCATTTAATTTTCAGCTATCAAATCAAATATCCATTCACGTTTATTGGTACCTTCAAATAATACCATTCATTTCCATGCCAACAGCCACAGAGTGTTTGGTTTAGTTTTTGAGACTGATTGAAAGTAGATTGTAAAGTTGACCTATTGTGTTAAGCTTATTTACACAAACATAGTGTCTTGGAAAATAAACTCTGAAAGTGCATAGCAGTTGAATCCCAAGGTATTTTACATCCTGAGTTTTCTAATGTCTACTGAGATCTGCCCCATACAGAATCTCAAGTTTACCATAGTTACCTTATGTAAGAGAAAAATCACCTTAAAAGTTAATTATTCCAAAATTTGAGATGAAATTTATGACTTGCTTATAAAAAAGAACTTGCTTTTGATTTGAAGATTTTGCCTCTGCAAAATAATTTGTTTTAACATATTATGAAACAATCACAGGTGACAGTTTTTCAGGTTCTTAAAAACGCTTTCCTTACAAAAGTTGAAAATAACATTTCTAAGATGTAATCAATAGAAAAAGCCAAAAATGTGAAAAAAAATACAATTTCAGTGGAAACACCAAAAAATCAGTTTGGGTACTGGATGGTGACAAATAGATTGTTTAAAACGAATCTGTATTTATTCAAGGATTAATCTTGATGAGTGAACATTTAAAAGCCCTTCCTGACACTCCATCCTCCTCTGTTATACTTATTCTTAAGTAAGCAGCCTATGATGTATCATTCTTCCTCCTGATTCCCCTTTCCCATCAAAATGCGAACTTCTCTGCTGTCGCTGAGTGACGCGGGGCCGACAATACTGGGAGGGAGGGTGGGGCGAGGGCACGTGGACCAGAAACACTTCCTAGAAACAGCAAGTACGCGGCTCAACCCTGCCTGAACTTTCCCCGAAAACACAGCTCGCTGACAGAGCGGCATCCCTGCTGGGTGGATCCTGCAACTCCTAGAGGGAATGGCACTTCTTGTTTTTAATTAGCAAGGTGAAAGGTGAATTAAAACTAGCTGTTTGGCAAGTCAGTGCAAGAGGCTGACTTCTGAGAGGCTAGAACGAGCCAGAAGAGAACAGGAGCTCCACGGGGGAAGGCAGTGGGTGTGCTGGTGTGGTTGTTTTTTCTGAATGAACCGCTTGCAGAAGTGACTAAAAAAAAAAATATACAGTTTCTTCCTGAATCCACCGGCATAGTGACTGAAGAGAGCTCTAGACAGGACATGGCTCTGAAGACTCACTCCTTGGAATGTCCTCTTGCTCCCGGCTTATAAACAACTGTCCTGGGGAAAGGCAGGTTTTACTTATCCAAATACAGCCTGACAAATGGCACTTTGGAACTGTGCTTTCTGATGACAACGCGTTCGATTTCTGACAAAGCCTCTCTCGCACGCTGCCCCTGGAGGGGAGTCCTAAGTAAAACTCACCCCGCCTGAAAGTGAGGATCGCTGGCGGCAGGCTGGCAGCATGGCATCTGCCGGGTACCTCATCACCTGGCTCCTGTGGGGCTACTTGCTGGAGCTCTGGACGGGAGGTCACACAGCTGACACCCCGCACCCCCGCTTACGCCTGTCACATAAAGGTAGGTCACCTTTTCAGATCCTTTTGTTAGAAAAAAATGAGAAGAAAATTAAAGTCATTTATTTAACATTGATCTTTGGTCTTCCCAGACCCTTAACATACACCTGAAAATAATGATTGCAACACTGACCCAAGCTTCTAAGTACCTCTAATGAATAGGTCATACTTAACCACAGCTGAAAATTGTGTAAAATCAGCCTAACTTCAGAGATGTTATTTTTGTCTTGTAAATATTAGGTTTTGTTAATAAGTTCACTCACTAGCAGACATAACAGAAGAGGGTAGGAAGCAGGTAGTAAAGAGCCTTGAGGGGCTGAACCCACCAAGTTAGCAAAGGGTATTTAAATACCAATTTATGCATTTTGGGAAGCAAGTACGTCAGGGAAGGACTGTAGAAATAGAGGTGCAATTGGTTTTCTGTTTTGTATTGCCCATAATGGGGATGAGAGGAGGAAAAAAGAAAACTCCTGAGAATCAAAATGATTCCTTGCCCATGATGACAAAGTCATCACCGTGTAATTAAAATGACTAACAACTGTTATAAACTAGGTTTCTAGTTGAATTGATTATTGGAAATTTTTTTAATGTGTGGCAAAAAAAAATGTTAGCAATCCTTGTGAACTGATTTGTACTGATTAAAGTGTTGGATACTATTTACTAGCATCTCTTCTTTTTAATGTAAGTTCATAGTGCTTAACTGAAGATCCATCTATCAGAGAGTGCTTAAATATTTTATTCTGTAGCTCTGTCTTGTAAAGCAGCATTTAGTCATAAATGATTAAAAGATAGCTTTTGCATCAGTAAAGCCAGTCATGAATAGGTTTGATGACTCTTCCTCCTGTAAACAAACAACAAACAAAACCCACACTCTAAAAAGTGACTTTGCTGACTTAAAAGGAACTTGGAATAGATTTTCAGGAAAGAAGTACTTATTATCATTAACCACTGAGACAGATAATGGATGGAATAGTGAGAATTACATAAAAAACATTTTTCCATTGTGTAAGCTTTTAAATTGTCCCCACTGTAGAAGGAAGTCTGTATTTTAAAAATATGCGTGTAATCTTTACTCAAAAAGGGAGGGCTCAAATTTATGACACAGTTGGTTTTTTTTTAATTGACAATCATCAGTAGATTGGGCTATAGAAGTTTCTCATTTTTAGAACAGCTATAATCTATGGGTATTTTCTTAGTTTAAATAGATTTCCTGTAGTACTCCCCAGTAGATAACATAAATTTAAGAAACACATTGACACTGAATTTGTGAAGTATTTAACATATAGTGCCTAGAATTAGTATAATTCATTTGATTTGGGAAGATGTATCATGGTATGTATCAAAATACATATTCCTAAGAAGTTAAGATCAAATATATCTAAATGTAAAAATTTGATGTGATGGAATATGGACACATAAGGATGTCAGAAAAAAACCCATAATAATGGATTCTTTTTCTTATGTAGACAAGCGGATAAGCTGCCAGTTTGGGCAAGCTGCCATTCTGCTATGCATGGTATCAATCTTTTATACCTCATTACTAGGATACTTGGTTTTTGATAGCTCAATATCAGTATGTTTCCAAAGATACCTCATTTTAATATTTCATTGGAGAGCTTCTAATTTAGTCAGTGCATGCATAATGTTACCATCAGCCTTATCTTCACCACATCTCTCTTAGTCAAAAGAATAACTGTAATTGATTTTATGAGTCCTGTTAAGTGGTGTGGGAGGACCACTGCTAGAAGCTATGGGTACACTAGACAGAAAACTCATGTAAGATTTCCTTTTGGCTTTTCTTAACCTTTTGATTTAAGGGCACTAGCTGAAAATGTGCAATATTGTGCTCTTATGCAGACAGTATAGAGTTACCTGAAAATAGAATGTTCCCACTTGTGCAGTTTAGTTAGCAAAGTCAGCTAAGAGAGCACAGCGGAGATGCGACCTGAAGCAACAATGCCTCCTGCACCGCAGGTGACTCAGTGGAAGAGGAGCACAGGACTGCCTGAGCAGGGATATTCCATCCCTTTGATACAGTATGAACAGCACATTCACCTCTCTACACTCGAGACTCAGTGGACATTTTAGTGGTGTCTGAAAACTGGGGGCAGAATATTTTAGAGTATACTCTTCTGCTATCTTAAATGATATCCAAAATGGTACAATTTTAGTAGTAAGTAAATTAGGTGATTAGTATTATAAATGAGTGCATGGTCCTTAAAAATAAGAGCCACTACTTATAAGTAATCTAGCACCTCTGCACTGCTGCCTGACCCCCAGTGGAGAAAGCTGGTAGGCTCCCTGGAGGTAGCCTACTGGATTCATCCAGGGATTCATTTCATAGCAGTGGTCCATGCCATATTGGAGAAGGACAAGCATCTTTCTTATATCTTCCATTATCAAGATGGTGTTGGAGAACACAAACCTCGTGTCACTTCCCAAAGAGGAGGAGAAAGTTTCATATGTTTACAAAGTTTGAGTTAAATTATATAAAAATATGTTCAGAAAAAAAAAAAAAAAA